TGGAGTGTTTTCCTATTTGTGACTATTGCAAATAAAGTTGCTATGAATATTTGTGTACAAGTCTGTGTGTGGAAAATTGTTTCCCCTCCCCCCCCTTAGGTTGATATCTAGTAGTGGAGTGGCTGAGTCACATGGTAGGTATAATTTTCACTTTTAGGAAACTACCAAACTGTTTTCTAAAATGGTTGTACCATTTTACATTACCACCAGAATTGGGAACACTAGTTGCTCCAAATCCTTGTTAACACCTACTATGGTCAGTCTTTCAAAATGTTAGCCATTCTAATGCATGTGTGGTAGTCTCTCACTCTGGTTTTAATGCTGAACCCCTTTCATGTGCTTATTTGAACATCTTCCTTGGTGACATGTATGTTCAAATCTTTTGCCCATCTTTAATTGGGTTGTTTCCTTATTGAGTTGTGAGAATTCCTTATATAGCTATAAGTCCTTTATCAGCTGTGTGTTTTGCAAATATTTTCCCCAGGCTGTGGTTAGTTTTTATTTTCATAACAGTGTCTTTGAAGAAAAAAGCCTTTTCAAGAAGAAATAGATCAACTGGATAGTCCCCTATGTACTAAATAAGTGAATTTATAGTTAAAAACCTTTCCACAAAGTAAGCCCTCCCAATCTAGCCTCAGATGGACTTTGCTACTAAATATTTAAGGAATATATAATACTCTACACAAATACTCTACACAATGTGTCTAGAAAATAAAAATAGAAGAAAAGGGAATGTGTCATAACTCATTCTGTGATGCCAGCATTGCTGTAATGCCAAAACCATATAAAGACATCACAAGAAAAGAAAGGCACAAGATACTCCTCATGAGCATAGGTGCAAAAATTCTAAACAAAATTTCAGTAAATCAAATTCAACAATATATAAAAAGAATAATAGATCATGACCAAGTGAGGTTTACCCCAGGAATGCAAGGTTGGTCTAATATTTGAAACTCAATGTAATTCTACTGTATTAAAAACAAAACTCTCAGCAAACCAGATGTATCAATAACTTTCTCAACCTGATAAAGAGCATCTATGAAGGGCTCTCCTATCTGTCCTAACTGCCCAGGAGATGCCACCTAGTCTTAGTTTTAAATATCACATTCTAGGCCAGGCATGGTGGCTCATGCCTGTAATCTCAGCACTTTGGGAGGCCAAGGTGAGAAGATTGCTTGAGCCCAGGAGTTTGAGACCAGCCTGGGCAACACAGGAAGCTCTCATCTCTACATAAAATAAAAAAATCAGCTGGGCATAATGGCACATGCTTGTAGTCCCAGCTACTCAGAAGGCTGAGGCGGAAGGATCACTTGAGTCCAGGAAGTTGAGGCTGTGGCGAGCTATGATTGTGCCACTGCACTCCAGCCTGGGCAACAGAATGAAAGCCCAACTCATATGACTCCCACATTTATGTCTCTACCCAGACCTCTGTACTACAGCTTCTACCTCCCAATGGTCTATTTTGACAACTCTTCATTGTTTAATGGGCATCTCAAACTCAACATGTCTGAAACAGAACTGAGTTCCCAATCCCCCACTCTTCTCAGCATTCTCCTGTAGTGTAAGGCCTAAAATTAAGGCCCGATATTATGTATGCTCTTCACATCTGCTGAAATAGTAAGAGCCTTGAATGGTTTATGTGTACTTTTCTATCCCCTCCTCTGCTCTTGTGGACAAGGTCCTCCAAATATTATTAAGAGAACCAGGAGAAGTTCCTGCTTATCTGTGTGAGCAGGTTTCAAGTCCTTGCCAGACTGTGGAATTACTCAGACAAGTTGATCACATCCCCACATTCCCCATACCACAAAGCCTGCCTCTCACCATTCTTAGGTGCAACTCCTGTGTGACCCTTTGTAGTGTGCTGTGTCATCTCCCACGATGTGAGTATATGTGATTAATAAACTGCTATCCATCACATCTGCTCAGCGTTGGGTGCTGTGTCCAGCCATTCCCATAACTCTAGGACAGGAATAACTTCTGTCACCAGTTGGGTGAACAGGAGGCAATTAAAACACCCCATTTCGGCTGGGCGTGGTGGCTCACACCTGTAATCCCAGCACTTTGGGAGGCGGAGACGAGAGGACTGCCTGAGCCCAGGGGTTCGAGACCAGCCTGGACAACTTGGCAAGACCCCATCTCTATAATAAATCAAAACATTAGCTGGGTGTGGTGGTGCAAGCCTGTAGTTCCAGCTACTTGGAAGGCTGAGGTAGGATTGCCTGAGCCCAGCAGGTTGGGTGTGGTGGCTGTGGTTGAGGCTGTGATTGCCCAGCTTGGGCGAAAGAGTGAGACTCCATCTCAAACACACACACACACACACACACGAGTGAGACTCCATCTCAAACACACACACACAGCAACAAAGTGAGACTCCAACTCAAATGTGCACGCACACACACACACAGCCCATTTCGGGAAATGATACCTTAACTCATCGCTCAGGAAAAACTCTTTACGAGTTTTTATTTCTCACACCCGACAACCAACCAATCCATTAGCAAATCCTTATTTATTCTATCCTTAAACTGTGTCAGGATCTAACCACTTGTTCTTACTCCCACTACAACCACTCTAGCTCAAGCCATCTGTTGCCTGAACCAGTAGAAGAATCTCTCAAGTGGCCTCTCTACCTCTGTCCACATTCTCCTACAGTCTTATTCACCAGGCGTCTGTGATACTTTTATGACATAGGTTGGATCACATCATTCTTTCAACATTTTCCAGTGGCTTCCTGGGGCACATTTGAGATAAAAGCCAAAGTCCTTACATGGTCTTGAGAGGAACCTCTCTTCCACTCTACCTGCTGTCCTTCTGCCCTTCAACTGCAATGCTCCAGCCACTCAGGACAATTTGCTGTTCCTGAATCCACCAAGTATGCTCCCGTCTCGGAGGCGTCTCAGAGCCTTTGCACTTTTCCCCTCTGCCTGGGATGATTGTCCCCTGGATGGCCACATGGCTGCAAGACGGTCTCTGCTACGGTGTCACCACCACCACCCCGGAGGATCCTCCCTCCCCCCACCAGTTTATAACATGGTCCTCCCTCCACTCACCCCTTACTTTGCATTTTCTTCATTGTACTTCATTTCCCAAAATATTATATGTATTTTTACTATCCTCTCCTACTCAGTTAGAACGTAAGATCCTTAGAGTCAGGAATCTTGTTCATCGTTGTAGTCCCAGTGCTTAGAATGTGCTGGAACATAGAAATTGCTCAAGCTGGGCTTGGCAGCTCAGCCTGTAATCCCACACCTTTGGGAGGCTGAGGTGAGTGGATTGCCTGAGCCGTGGGTTCGAGACCCACCTGGGCAGCGAGACCTCATCTCTACAATAAATCAAAAAATCAGCCAGGCGTGGTACAGCATGCCTGTAATTCCGGCTACTTGGAAGGGTGAGGCGGAAGGATCGCCGGAGCCCAGCAGGTTGAGGCTGCGGTGGCCAGGAGCGGCCACTGCACTCCACTCTGGGCGACAGAGTGAGACTCCAACTCAAAAAAAAAAAAAAAGTTCCTTTAAAAAAAAAAAAAAAAGAAATTGCTCAGTATCTGTTGCACGAACAAATAAACTCTGAACAAGAATGCTTACTTTTCCAATATCCCCACCAGGTATTGTAGATCTTTATAACTGCCAATCTATTATGTTGGAAAAAGTATCTCTTTTTTAATTTGTATTTTTTGAATATGAGTGAGGCTGAGTATTCTATCATGTTTTTTTGCTCAGCCTTTGTATTTCTTTTTTCAGAAAACTATCTTTTCATATCCCTTGCTCAGTTTGTTTTTTTCCTATTGCTTTGCAAGAGCTATTGACACATTAAAGAAATTATTCCTTTGTCCACTGTATGCTGCAAATATATTTTTCCAGTTTATCCTCTGTCTTTGGCTTTGCAGTCATGATAATAATCTTTGCCTTTTGGCCTCTGGGTTTGAGTTATGCCTAGAAAGCCCATTCCTGGCCAGGCACAGTTACTCATGCCTGTAACCCCAGCACTTTCGGAGGCCAAGACATGAGGATTGCTTGAGCCCAGGAGTTCAAGACCAGTCTGGGCAACAAAACAAAACCTCATCCCTACAGTTAATGGAAAACTTAGCTTGGTGTGGTGACACACACCTGTAGTCCCAGCTATTTGGGAGGCTGAGGCAGAAAAATTGCTTGAGACCAGGAGTTCTAGTCTGCAGTGAGCCATTATCATGCCACTGCACTCCAGCCTGGGCAGCAGAATGAGACTCTGTCTCAAAAATAAACAAACAAATAAATAAAAATAGTCCTTCCCATTTCAAGATCATCAAAACATTCGTATTTGTTTTTTCTAATTTTATGTTTATATATGGAAGATTATAATGTTTAGATCTTTGATTTATTGAGTTTACTTTGGGGTATAAAAAGGAAGCCATCTAGTTTAAGAAGTGAATTTAACTTTAAAATACAATGAGTACACATTTTTGGATATTATATAATTTATTGTTTTAACTTTTTCAAAGAATACTTAAAATTTGAAAAATAAATTCAAACAAAATCTCCCTGTTTTATAAGGACATTTTATATATATATAATTTTATATATATATAAAAATGAGTGTATTTATATGCAATAAAATATTTTCCACAATTGCCTGGAATGTTATATTACAATTTGACATTACTGTCGCTATTAAAATATTTTCCCACCAGCCTGAGCCATATAGCAAGACTGCATCAAAAAAAAAAAAAAAAAAAAAATTAGCCAAGTGTAGTAGCATGTGCCTGCAGTCCCAGCTACTTAGGAGGGTGAGGTGGGGGGACTGCTTGAGTCCAGGAGTTCAAGGCTGCAGTAAGCTATGATGGTGCAGCTGCATTCCAGCCAGCATGATGAAGTCAGACCCTGTCTCTAAAAACAAATGAACAGGCTGAGGCGGAAGGATCACCAGAGCCCAGCAGGACGAGGCTGCAATAGCCGGAAGCAGCCACTGCACACCAGTCTGGGCGACAGAGTGAAACTCCAACTCAAAAAAACAAAAACAAAAACAAAAAACAAACGAACAAAAACCAAACCAAAATATTTTTTCAAAAAAGCTTCTATTTCTTTTTTCTCATTATCTTCTCACTTTCTTGGATCTTGAAGATTTCTTTTTTGTTATAGTGTATTTTTTTTTAAAGAGTTTCTTTTCAATTAAGCTTACTTCTTCATGGAGAAGGGAGGCCTTTATTCTTAGCAGGAAGGAGAAGAGATTTAATATAAACTGATAACTCAATGAAAAATTGGATTCTTCATAGGTTGTCACATGTTTACAATAGCTAGAAGGGAAAGAAAAAACAGTAAGTTCTCCTTAAATGATAATTTTAAAAATTCCTGAACATGTCCAATAACTTAGCAAGTATATATGGTTGGGCTTAAAATGGTACTCTGAGCTAGAAGGAATAAAAGAATAATTTGGTTAATCTCTTTAACTGCACAAAAAAGTAAATTTTCTCACTGTTCATGGTCACCATGCACCCAAAGGTGATGCCAAGAGCTAGGTCTCATGACTGCTCGCCCAAAGTTTCCTCCACTCCAGACGGGCCACTACCCCACCTTCTTAGTATGGGCAAGGCAAAGAAAAGCACACAGGGAGAGATTCTGAACATACATATTTTAAAAACAAACTTAAAGAAAACAAATCATCCTCAACTCCCACCCAAAATAAGATCAGACTTAATTTTAATTTTTTTTTTTTTTTTTGAGTTAGAGTCTCACTCTGTCACCCAGACTGGAGTGCAGTGGCCGCTCCTGGGCACTGCAGCCTCGACCTGCTGGG